GCATGTACCTGCTGGACAAAAGCAAGCTCAAGATGAGCAGTAGAAGGGATCCCGTGGTTGTGTCCAGAGCCATGTCTGCTTTGGTACGGCACTCTCAGAGGACTGGTTTGCCCCTCCAGCTTTCCTTCCTGCTTCTTGCTTGCTTTTATTTCCCTGGGGATTAGAATGAATACAAAACTGCAGGAGAAGAGCTAAGGAGGCATTTTGGGTGGAAGGAAGAGGCAGGAGAAATGCAACATCTCTCTGTTTCCAAAATGTGCCGCTGACCCAGCAGTTGTCCTTTAGTAGGAAGCTGGTGTCCAGACCCAATGTCGTGCTTCAGGGGCAGCTGCTGGTTGCACTGGGAGGCTTGCTGGGAGCAGTGGGGCCTAGGATGCTTGAAGACAGCCAGGCAGCGTGCCAGGCAGGGAAGCCCCAGCTGGTGACAGCAGCCTTGTAGAGCTGTGGAGCACCTTGGGAAGATGTGGGCCTCATTCCTGAAGTTGTCTCCTCTGTGTGTGCATGGACACAGGTGAATGCCAACGATGACAGTGGTGTCGTGATGGGAAACTGGTCAGGGAATTACGAGAACGGGACTTCCCCCATGGCATGGATTGGGAGCGTTGCAATTTTGCAGCAGTATTACAAAACGAAGAAGCCTGTCAGTTATGGCCAATGTTGGGTCTTCTCAGGAGTCCTCACTACAGGTAAGGGGCAAAATCTTGTTTCTCTATCTGGTATCCTAATTACTGGGCTAGTAATCCAGGGGAACTTCTGCATGCCCTTTGATCCTGGTGTTTTCATTAAAAGCTTGAGGCACCTGTATGTGAGGAGAGGCTGAGGAAGCTGGGACTGCTGTAGCAAAGGCTAAGGGGTCTTGTCCATGTGTATAAATACCAAATGGGAGAGAGTGATGCACTGGGAGCCAAGCTCTGTTCAGCAGTGCCCAGCACTGGAACAAGAGGCCGTGGGCACAGTGTGGAGCACAGGAGCTCCCTCTGAACACCGGGCAGCACTCTGTGCTGTGTGGGTGACTGAGTGCTGGCACAGGCTGCCCAGAGGCCATGGGGTCTCCTCTTTGGGGATTTCCAAAACCCACTTGCACGCAGGCCTGGCCTCCTGCTCTGGGTGTTGCTGTTTTAACAGGGTTTGGACCAGGTGACCCCAGTGGTGCCCACCGGTGGTTTTATAACCCTGTGTTCTGTTTGTGTTGCAGTCATGCGCTGCTTGGGGATCCCAGCCCGCAGTGTGAGCAACTTCAACTCGGCGCATGACACCGATGAGAACCTGAGGGTTGATGTCTACCTGAACGAGAAAGGAGAAAAGATGAAATGGTTGTCCTCTGACTCTGTCTGGTAGGGTTAACCATCCCTAATTCCTGTGACTCTGCATTCCCCAGCCCCGGCAGGCTTTTCTTTGAGAGTTTCCTTTTGCTTCAAGTTTGCTGCTGGGGAGAGAGAGACAGCCTAGGATCTCACAGGGCTGCACACAAATCCCCTGTTAAAGCTGCCCTTGAAGGAGCTAAGCAGAGGAGCTCACCACTCTTACCTACAACACCTCACTCCCTTTCTTTCCAACCTGAATGTACACAGGAACTTCCACGTGTGGAATGATGTCTGGATGAAGCGGAAGGACCTGCCATCAGGGTTTGATGGCTGGCAGGCAATCGACGCGACCCCTCAGGAGCAAAGTCTAGGTAGGATTTACCTGGAAGGGCTCTTCTGCAACTCCCAAGGGAGGCAGGGATGTTTTGTATGGAGCTGTGGTCTCCAGCCAGCTGTGAGCTCCTGAGGCCAGCAATCTCACTCCTGCGGTTTGAGCCCTGGAAGCAGGGAATTGTGTTTCTTGGCAGGCTGGAAGCCAACCCTGCAGGGCACTGTGGGTGCATGCATGTTTAAATGCACTATGTGTGTGTCATGTTTCGCACAGCAAATAGCACTGAATGTGCTTTACAGGTATTTTCCAGTGTGGCCCGTGCCCAGTGAAGGCTGTCAAAGATGGAGACGTGTATTTGCCCTATGACAGCAAGTTTGTGTACGCGGAAGTGAACGCCGACAAGGTCTACTGGCGCGTCACGGAGGAGAACGGCAGGAACCACTACACCAAGCTGGGCGTGGAGAGCCGGAGCATCGGCGCCAACATCAGCACCAAGGCCGTGGGGCAGAACAGGCGGGAGGACATCACTTGGGAGTACAAGTTCCCTGAAGGTGACTGCCCCCATCTTTCAAAGCAGAGTCCAAAGGCAGGCCCTGCTCCCAGCGGTAGCACAGACCACAGGGCTCTCGTGAGCTGAGGCTGAGGCAGTCGGTGCCCTGACACCTTCTGCTCAGCAGCAGAAGAACAAATAAAGGGCAGGGAGGTGGCTCTGGGTGAGAGCGCTGAGATACAGGTCTGAGGCAGATTTTTTCCTTCATCAGGCTCTTTAGAGGAAAGAGCATCCATGAAGAGAGCCGTCTCTTACCTGCAGCCCTCAGGGATGACACCTCGTTCACGCTTTGCTGCAGTCCCCAAGGATGTGAGCCTAAGAAATGCAGGAGAGAAGGACGTGGTCCAAAATGAGGTGGTCCCCAAGTCTGGGGTCCAGCTGGAGATAACCAACGAAAAGTCTCTGTGTCCTGGTAATCCCATTGAGGTGGTCATCACCGTGAAGAGCACTGTGGCCGGGAGCTGGACTGTCGACCTCGCCAGCTCCTGCCAGCTGCAGTCCTACACTGGGAAAGTCCATGCCAATCTTGGATATATCAAGCAGACTGTCAAGGTGGAAGGCCAATCTGGTAGGCATGGAAACTGTGATATGTTTTATAGGCTATTTACCCCCAGGGCTATCTGCTGCTTGCTCCATATCTTTGAGCAACCTAGGCTCAACACTGCCGATCCCCAGCAGCACGACTGCAGTGTGCCAAACAACACACTAACGAGCGATGAATACTTAACAGTATTTGCTCATTCCAAGCATGAGTCACCTTCCCAAAAATATACATCTATATCTTTGCTTCTAGTGCTTTCTGAGCCAGCACTTGCACGGGGGGGAGATGGGTATGCAGGGCAGGATGGCCTCAGCAAATATGCTTCACCCCGCATCCCGCCAGCATCACTTGGCACTGCCACCAGTGCTGCTTCTGCCACTGATGTGCTAAAGAGCCAGGTCACGCTTTCCGTCCCACAGAGGTGCGCGTCCCGCTGAAGATCATGCCCAATGATTACATGAAGGCACTGGCCACAGTGGATGATGAAGAGTACGTCCACGTCACTGCCATCGCTGAGATCCAGGGGACACCTGAGAAGCTCACCAAGGAGGTGTCTCTGAGCTTCGAGTACCCCTCCATCCAGGTCCAGGTGAGGCTGCACCCTTCCAGGCTTGGCTGGGGCTAGGGGACCCTATGTAAGAGTCCCAAAATTAGATGGGGGGACTGAAGGAAACATTTCCCCTTGGCAGCACCTCCAGCACCTCTATCAGCTCTCTGATGCCCCGTGTTTATGTTTGCTTCACTTTCCAGATGCCAGAAACGGCACAGCTGAACAAGGACTTCACCTGCGCCTTCATCTTCAAGAACAAGCTGAACATCCCCATGGACAACTGCAAGCTGATGGTGGAGGGCTTGGGCATATTTAAGATGGCAACGTTTGATGAAGGGTAAGACAAGGTTTTGAGCAGCCCTGAGCCCCAGAGCTCTGGGCATGGAATAACATCCTTTCCTTGTCTGTTAATTCTCCTTGAGGAAGTGGTAGGAGACAGTGAGCAGTGCAGCTCTTTGACATACATGCTCAAGACAGGGCCTGGGGGCTACTACATGGGGTACCAAACCCTGCTTGCTCCAATTTGGTTGCAGAAGGGCATAACCGTGCTAAATACATGCAGTGGCTTTTTCTTTAAGCAAAACTATGACAAATAGGCAGATGAGACCGGTGATGTGCAAGGAGCTCATGCTGGGACTGTTCTCCTTTCTCCCTAGGGATATACAGCCGGGCAGGATTATTAAGTCTGAAGTCATATGCACTCCAACAAGAGTAGGAGAGAAGAAGATCGTGGCCAGGCTGACCTCCAACCAGGTCAAAGACATTTCGGTGGAGAAGGGCATCATGGTCACCCACTAGGAACAGCACCACGGCAGTGGACAGAAGGGGACCCTGAACATGTGACAGCTGCAGGTCACTGCCACCACTCCTCTCCTTGACTGCGGAATAGGGCTTCATGAGCAAAGAACTACAATCCCATTAAGCAAAGGGAATTACACTGGTGTAAAGGCCACAGCTGCTTTGATTGTAGCTGACTGTGCTTCAATAAAGAGCGTTAAAATCGACAAATTCACTGTGTGACTGATGTTTGTGCTGGGGCAGGGGCTGTTTTGCAGCCTCTGCAGTCTCATGAGGCTGCCCAGACCCCACTGCATTGGAGCTCAAGACACATTTTAAACAATTCCCCATGTCTTTTCCTCTCTCTCCCTGCTGGCAAACATGCTGGCACTCTGTGATTTGCTTTAGGCAGCAAAAGGAGCAAACCTGGCACAGTCTCCCCAAACAGCGTTTTTCAAGTATCTTCCTCCCCTCTTGCACCCTTCCTTAGTATTATTTTGGGTGGGGGTGTATGTTTTCAAAGTACCACCATCATTCCAGCACTCTCCTGGAAGAACATCACCCCTTATCTGGCTCCGGCTGCCCAGAAAAGCTGTGGTGCCCCATCCCTGGAGGCACTCGAGGCCAGGTTGGATGGGCCCTTGGTGGCCCTGGGTGGCAGTCCTGCCCACGGCAGGGGGTTGACACTGAGTGGCATTAAGTCCCCTGCAGCCTGATTTTACTATATGAATCACAGAATGGTTTGGGTTGTATGGGACCACTCAGGTCTAACCTCCTGCCATAGACTGATATAAAGTCATAGAAGGATTTGGTTTGGAAGGGGCTTCAAAGATCACTTAACTCTACCCCCTTCCCGTGGGCAGGTTTGCTAACCAAGCACTTGGTCAGACTGCCCAGGGCAGAGTGGAGCACAGGGAATGGAGGAGCACAAACTGCAGCATGGAAATATTAATTCTTTAATAAGTATAATTAGCATCCGGAGGCATAAACCAGAGTTATGATTACCAAAATATATATATTTCCAAGAGATACAGGTTCTTTACTTGCATAGAAAGCCTGCTTTAAAAGACCATGAATGCTGCACATGGCCACTGTGATCCCGTCCATCATGGATTGAAGCCCCATGCTGCAGTGCTGATGGAGCCCAGCCTGGGCTGGAGGTGAAGGCACGATGCCACAGGGAGGGGAAGGGGGCTGGTTTCAATTCCATGGAAATAACTTTGGTCTCAAGCTACCTGGTGGGAGTTACACTACGAGGTGGATGCCAAGGCTTGGAATGAAGCAGATCACTCCAACTCATGAGGACTTCTGCTGCTTCAGACTTTTGCCATGCTGTACCAAGGCAGAGCAGGAGGGTACAAAGGAGTGAGGGAACGCTCTGATTTCCTGATGCCAACATTCTTCCAGCTCCTGCACCTTTGATGGGCAAAAATGTGGCAGCATGGAGCAGGCAGAGAGGAGTCCTCCTTTCATAGAGCTTTCTAGTTCCAGCTACTGAAACAGCACACAAACCCACATTGCTGAGGAGCAATGCAGGAAGTGGAAGGAGATCAGCCCAGCAATCAGCACTGTGGATACAGCTGTCACACCAAATGCTGCTCTTCCACGGCTGGTCTTCCTGTGGGGCCCTGCAACCCCACCTCCACCCACAGGTGGGAGAGTTAACTGAAATCAGCAGCTCCCAGCTTCCACCTTATGCATCCCCACTTCTCCCTGTACAGATTCACATATGTCCCCAATGTCCCTGTGATGCAGACCCTGCCGTGCAGACATGAAGGCTGGTGCAGAAGTGAGACAGTCTCAAATTCCCACACCGCACTGCTTCGTGCACTACAGCAAGACGATACCTCAGTTTCCCCAAGGTACAGCACGTTTCCCTTTACCAAGACATTTAGATAAACACACAGTTCCTTATGCATTTTTTTTCCCCCCAAATCTATTTTTTCATAGAAAAAAAGGAGAAACAAAGGGGTCACTATGGTTCAAAAACATCTCCCCTTGTTTTCCTGGATTCTGGCCCCACTGTACTCCTAGCTTCCACCCCACCCACCAGACTGTTACTTCATGTTTAAACTCCTTTATCACTGCCATGAGGAAAAAAACCCCTTGCAATATCCAGTGGAATTTGGGCTTTCATAAATAACTGAAAGTTAATCCAGGTCTTCCACAATACCTCGGTTTACCCCCCAACTCCTTCATCTCTCTCTCCCAAGGCAATAATTATCTTTGCTGCATGTTACAGGACCTCAAAGCTGCACAATTGGGGGTGGGAATCCAGGAGCACGTTGCCCAGGTGAGGTGTCACTGGTCAGTAAGGTGGGGGAGATGACAACAAGGCAAAACCAGCCCAAAACCAGTCTAGATCTTGGTTGTCAGAGTGGTGATGCCTGGAGCATCACCTCTGAATGCAGGCACTGGCAGGACGAGAGGCAACGCTCATCCAGCCAGTGCCATGAGGACACGAGGCCCCACAGCTCCGGCCTCACACCTGGGTCTCTCCCCGAAGGCCACACAAAAGCAGCTGGGTAAGGCAGGACACAGCTGCAAAGGCCGTGTGGCTCTCACTTTGGGTTAAACTTGCTCTGGAGATTTGCATTGCTTCTGCTGGTGCCGGACCCGACTTCCCCATGAATAGTCCTGAATTATATTCTGCACCAGAAGCACCCGAAGTACAATTAAAAAAAAAAAAAAAAAAGACAAGAAAACCCACCCTGCTTCTCCACCACAAGCAGTTAATAAAATAACACACCGCCTGGACGCGTCCCTTGGCCCCTGGGCTGATGCTCTGCTACTCATGGGGCACTTGGATGTTCACCTCCCGAGCCAGGAACTGCTCGATCTCCTCCTGCGTCATGGTGGCGGCCGCGGGCGCGGCGGGGGCTGGCGGTGGGCTCCTGCAGTCCATGTTGGAGAAGGGGTTGAGCCAGGACAGGGACGGGGTACCGCCGAAGGCTGCCTTCATCCCCTCCCAGCCTCTGGTCCGCTCCCAGGTCGGCTTCTGCTTCTTAAGGCGCTCGATGCCCTGCAAGAAGAGGAGAGTCTGGGGTCGTTTCACGTTCAAAACAGGTATTTGAGCTGCATCGTGGTGCTCACAGCTCAGCTACTGAGATGGACAGACAGGCAGAAATCCTGCTGTACCAACAAATTCATCCCCAGTAAAATCAAATCCCCAAAACACGACTCAGCTCACGGACAGCCCCAACCTTGGCGAATTATTTGGTACTGCTTGGTAATAAGGCTTCTGGAAGGTCATCCCTCTTCCAAATTGAGACCTCTTCTCCCAGTGTTTTAGAGTCCTTCCAACAAGTAACAAAATACAATCACAACCTGAAATTTCACCTTATTTGAGCTTTTTTTCTTTACAATGGTTCAGCTACAAGAAAACTGCCATATTTCCCTGTCACTGGAATTACTACAGACAGATGTTGCTTGGTAATGAAAATCAATATGAGAACACGCATGTTTGGCACCAATTAAGAGCAAATATTGAGGAACGCTTTTTCTGTTCCACAAATTGTCCAAGGCCAACCCTGGTGTGAAGGAGCACTGGGTCAGCTCCAACCATCCTCTTCCCATGGCCACCAGTAAGGACACAGGTTGACTGTCAATGCTCAGGTCTGGAAGTCTTCTCTATGTAGAAACAGAGCACTTGGAGCACTTGTTTTTACTCCTGCGTGAAGTCGGGCACACATCCTCATGCCCACCTTCTGCGTTACACACGAGATGGAGTCAGCTTTGCAGATGAGAGCGACAGTGACAAAGGTGACAGTGCAGAAACGCTGCTCCTCGAGAAGTGAAGACACGGGACTGGAGGTTGGAGATGTTCAAGGAGAGGAAAAATGAGCAAGTTCAGTTCAAACCATTTAAAACAGCAGCTTTAGAATAGCGTGACACAAACCAGCCCTCCGTTCTGATTCTGGAGGTGTTCTCTAAGTACCCACAAATCATCTCAGAGCTTTGCAAGGGGAAAACAACGACATGCGAATGACCTCTGTGGCACCACAACTGCACACCTAGTGAGCCTCATAATTAATGTGATATTACATAATTAACAAGCAGCAGCTTGCTTCTGCACTAACACTGGGGAGAAAAAGCACCAAGCATGGAAAGCCTCCCTGGTCATGCCAGCTCTAACCCTGTCTTCGGTCACAGAGTCATAAAATGTTTTGGGTTGGAAGGGACCTTAAAGCCCACCCAGTGCCAACCCCATGCCATGGGCAGGGATGTCACCCATTGATCAGGTTGTGCCATCCAACCCGGCCTTGAGTGCCTCCAGGGATAAGGCACCACATCTTCCTTGGGCAATTGGTTGTGTCACCCAGTTCAATCCACACTGCTAAAATGGGGGATAAGGCTTGTGAAGATTTCGAAGCAGCAAGCCCCATCTTTCCAAACCACCACCCATCACTCAGAACAGCATCTGCCAACCGTGGCACTACGTGAGGTGGGCTCGAAGCTGTGCTAAGGGCAGCTCAGCACAGCAGGCAGGGCAAGGCTCTCCCTCTCCTCTCCATCCCCAGCCTTACTTATCCTTCCTGGGCACATATTCAAAATAGACAAAACTGTTCAAAATCAGCTCCTGTTCACATTCTGCCTGGCTGCCACAGTCAGCAGGGCGTGAGGAAGGTTACAGAAAGGGAGGGAAAGATAAAGAAAGGTTCCCAGATAAATAAGTTTACTTTGTGATGTGCAAGCGCAGATAAATAGAGCTGAGTGAGAAAAGAATCAGCAGTCAGGAACTTCTGTTTTACCAGCAGCTCTGTGTAATTGGCTCCTTGCCCCATCTCCCTCAGCACCCGTTTCTGTGCCGTGCCATACAGGGTGCTGGGGGCTCTGGCTCAGGAGCAGTGACCTGCAGACTGCTCTCACGGCTCAGAAGGAAGGCATTTGGTTCTTTTCATATGCTTGTAAAATCCAAAAGGAAGACACAAGCAGAACTTGCAAACACCGTAACTTCTCTCCACATCTGTGCTCCCATTTCTGTCAGCTGCACCAAAGCAGAACCAGCACTTGAAATCGGGCGGTGCTGTTTGGGAGAGCCAGCAAGCCTGCCTTCCTCGTGTTGGTGCTGAGCCACATTGCAGCAAGTCACACTCTGAGATGCACAGTGCAAATCAACCAGAGAACACCAGTTAGAGAGGCACACTAGGCACCAACAGACAGACATCCCTGCCGGCTCCGAACATCAGAAAGCTTGCCTGAAAAATACAATACTGGGTAATACTTCAACACTTCGTGTTTGTTTGAAAGCAGAAATGAGTAATTACATTTTTGTTTTCCTCACAATGACCTAAATGCCAGAACAATGCAAGCAGCCTTCCTTCAAAATGCGTAGTGAATAACAGGACATAAAACAAAACCAGAACGTGCGATTCAGCAATTAATTACATGGTGAGATGCATTCATTCATTACCTATCTGGGTGACAAAAGCCAATCCTGCTCAGACCAAGCTCAGGAAGCCGTTACAGATTTTCCCAAAGTTTCAAGAAATTAAGAACAGCAAAGAATTTTTTTGGAAAAGTTTTATTGCATTTGTTTTCCATATGGAAGCATTGACAGATTGAAAAGATGCAGCATTCACATTACTTCCAAAATGAGACATCCACTAAACTTCTCCTTCCCTGATTTCCCTCCATCCCCCATGGCTTTGAAGCAGTCTAAACACATCATCTTCCAAAAAATACGGCTTTTATTTAAACCAAGGAAAGAAAAGATTCCTTGGAATTCCTGGACACAGCTGATGAGTAGTTTTTCCTTTGTTCGCAATATTCTGATAAGTCTATAGGAGTAATGATCCAAAATATAGCAAAATTTCTGCCTGAACACAAGGCATCGGTCACAGTTACGAATGGTTTGGCCTTACCTGTTTCTGGAATGCCTTCTGTCCCTCCCCTTTCATCACCACACAGTCCATGAAGTACACATGCTCCTTACCACCACCAGTTCCCAGCTTTAACATATACACACACAGTGTGCGTTTGCACACAGGTGTGCACATACACAGTACAAGATTCACAAAGCTCCACACCAGGGCGATGCTAAGAACGTAGGATCCATCTCCCTGGCATAACGACACATCCCACCAAGGTCAGTCTTTATCCATCTGCCTCCAGGCATTCACATCAGTTTTTCAAAGCTATTTAACAGGTATTGCTCCAACAGCTCATTTACGAGACAAACACACGCCAACACGATGCTGCTCCCATTCTAAGCATTTGAAAATCAGATTCTTCCTCTTTCTTTTCTGCAAATGTAAGGCATTTTAAAAATCCACAAAGTCTTCTAAATCTGCAACACAGTTACCCTAAGATGGCAACAATTTCCTGCGCACCAGGGAGGGAACAGACAAAATAATGCCAGAAAGATGAAATCGATTTTGTAGCTGGAAGGAAAAACGAGGGGGAAGCAGCATTGGCAATGTTTGCTTTAGATACTCGAACTGCGTGCAATCACCAGGTCAACTGGCTCTCTTGCTGCGTTCTCATCTTGTGCCTTTTGGTAAAGTGAAGGGTCTACTTCCCAGCTCAAGTTCACTTCTGAAAGAGCAGCGCGCTCCTTCAGGAAGTCCAAAGGTGTCTGTGTAGGACTTGGCACTCACATGTCTTCCACAGAGCTCAGCACAGTCAGCAGACAGCATGAAAACCTACTCAGAAGAGGTGGGTCACAACGGAGAAGGAAAACTCCCTTCACATTAGTTATGCCATACAGAAAGCAGAGAGAAACAAAGGCCAGTAAAGTTAACATGATTAAGAAAAAAAAGAAAGAAAGAAAGAAAGAAAGAAAAGCAACAGCAGCAGTTTCAGCCAGAGATATAGAATTATCTGAAGTTGTGGAATACAGGGCTTTTTTTTCTCTGCAATTATCAGCCATTCATTAGACATAAAAAAAAGTTTGTCTTGCTTTTCGTTTTAAACATTCATGGAAAATTTAAACAGTAGTGCTGCAATATGTTTCTATCTTAGTGGAAATGCTGGTCAAGAATTCCTCAGACCACATACTGGTATGGGTCTGCTTTTCCTTGGTCTGGTGTTGCGAATGGGCTAAGCCATGCTATAGAGAACGGATGGCCAAATACTGCTTTCATGTTCATCCATTTTGTTTTTTTAGCCCATCTTCTCTCTTCCTTTTTCAATTGCTCTATTCCCTGAAAACAGAAATATCACATTTTCAGTCAAACGCTCAGTTTTTGTCGCTCTGGGTTTGTGGAAAGGTCTATTCTCAGTTACCCCTTATCCAAAGGATGGAGTAAGAACATTAAAACGCATCTTTAGAGCCTCTCCTCTTTCCATTGCTTTATACTACTACTAATAGTGCTACTAATAAGAAGATAGAAAATGTTTCTCCAAAATAGAACTGTTTTAATTTTGTTCAGGCCTGGAAATTTCATCAAACCTTTTAAGACCTGACCTCCAATTGTCTGTATTGTTCAATTTAAAAAACCCACCACATAAAACCAAATACAAAGCACATACTTTAATGGCTGAAAGCATTACGTGCTAACCAGACGGGGAAAAAAAAATCAGAGGAAACAATCATAGGTTTGCAGACAAAAAAACCCAATGAGATAATCTCTATAATGCTCCAAGATTCACCAAGCAAGTTCAGGAAGTTCAGATTCACCCATAGCTCCATGTAGCTAAGTCTGCCTCTTCATGTTTCACTACATCACTGCCAAAACATGCATGGGCCGACAGCAGGGAGAAAAGATTATATAAGATACCAATTGGAGAGAAATCATTAGCGTTGTTTAGTACAGGTTAGAGGGAAAATAAAAATAAGCCATCAAGCAATCAGCTGGAACACTCACTGGTCAGTCACTTTTAAACCAAAACCAAAAAGCCCCACAAACTCAAATTTGTGCTGTACAATAAACACGAATTGGGTCTTCCAGGAAAGCTATGACTGACTGAACACACTGCCACAGAAGCACAATTAACTGGTGCAGTCACTGGAGAGCATTATTTTTCCACGGGTAGCGCTGGCAGGCAGATTGTTCTGATTTTTAACTTATGATCTTTTGCAAGGTAAGCTTCTCCTGACCTTCACATCTCTCCTGTGCTATAGATTAATGCGCTGTAATACATCTGTGTGTCTCAAGTTACCAGTTCTGGGTGCTCTGCAGAAAAAGCTCAGCCAACTGCAAGAGCTGCAGTGACCCCTGAGAATGTCACCTCCAGAGGTAACGGCACAATACTGGGGATCTGGGTGCCTCCAGGCAGAGAGGAAGCATCCCAGGGGGCCAGCATGCACAGGACAGAGAAGGAGGTCTCCTGGGGATTGGAAGAAGGTGAGAAAGGTCACGACACAGTCCTGTCTCTAGAATGGGACAAAGAATTCTGAAAGGGGCCGTATCAGGTAGAATTTCACCTGGAAACATCCTGCACTCAAAACAGATTGTTTGCAAGACCCAGATAGCTCAAAGCTAGCAAAATTAACAGACAACACAGAGGCCTCCAAAGAGCAAAGTCTTTACTGCTGAGTATTAAAAAAAAAACAAAACATAAATCAAAAGCAAACCCCCACAACCAAACAGGGAGTGTCCACATCTTTAATTTTAGTCTGTGGCTTAAGTCCTTTCACAAGAGCTTCCAGAATTCGAGGGGATAGGAAATGAAGGAGACTTATTTGTGTACCTGACTATGGGAAGCAGCTTCAAAAAACTCCTGCCAGGTTTCAAAGACTGAGAAATTTGGGTGATGGTTTCACAGAGAGCATTGCTAATTTACACACTTATTAACTTAGACAGGATCTGGTTCCATATGACACTGTACCCCATCGCAGAGGTCGCCCTGGCAGGACGAACAGCTGCAGCCCTCCTCTGAGCACAGAAGAGCCACAGTGTGAACATCAGCCTTTTGCAGAAGCCAGGCAGAAAAACATGCACTGTAAAGAAGGCTCAGGAGCGATGGGTTCTTACACACTGCAATGACAGTCACAGCTCTCCAATGGCAGCCAACATATTTATTCTAGCTTCAACTGGCCACAAGTAAAGCGAAGGATAAGGACAACTAAAGGAGGCAGGGTACTCTGGTCCCTCTTTTAAGACTGTAATTTCTCTTCAGTCACTCCAGTTAATTCCAGCCCTTTGATATGAGCTATCGTATCTCTGAGCATGCTTGGTGAAAGCCAGCAGCATTCACTTGTGGGAGTATCACCAGGAGGCACCAGCTCCACCGTTACAGAAGCTGCAAGTGCAGCAACACCAGGGCAGCAACATTACTGCGTCACCTCTACTGTGATGTATTCAAACTTGGTGGCTTTGCAGCAGACTGTACCCACCACTATTGGACTGTATTCCATTTCCAGGAACGTCTCAAGTTTCCCCTGCTTTCCCTCCCCACGCCTTGAGAACGGATTTTGAACAGATTAACAAGCAAAACTGAAAATTTTCTAGCACGCAAAGCTGCATGTTGTGACACAATGAAAATCTGAAACACCAGCATAGCAGCACTTCATTAAAGGAAAAATATTCCCGAATCTACAGTTCCTGAATCTGTACAGAGTAGACCCCAATACCAATGCCTTACCTTACCCAGGGTAATGTCTGATCCCACAACATCCCAGCCAATAATTACGTCGGTGGACACCTCTCCTCACAGTGACTTTCAGAGGACAATTTAGCACTGTGCTGATTCAGCTGGTCACAGTGGATTTTTCCTCAAAGGGTACACATGAATTCCCCATGCAATGAGGCAAAACCCCGTAACTCTTTCTATTAACAGTGAGAGACAAGGTAAAGAAAAGAGGGTGTGGAACACCCACCGTTTCGTCAGTGCAGATGGAGTGTACTTGGGTCCCAAACATAACCGAGGTGAAGATGAGAAAAAGGAGCGCCTCAAAACACAAGAGGATGAGAAGGATCACTGTGGTTGGTGGAGAGAAGGAGCTGCATTCTGTGAAGACAAAACAAGAGAGTTGGAAGGGGAGAGATCAGGTAATGCAGCATGTGCAAAACACCCACTAGGCCATGAGTTTTCAGAATGAACTGCACGGTGATCATACTCAAAAAGGTGCACGGGGAAGCTCAGACCTTGAGGGTGCACAACAATGAAGCAGTCACTCCTACAAGTTCAACAAGGCAACAAGAAAGCACCACAGGGTTTTTCTGTGTTAAGCAGCATCTCACCTTTTTCAGTGAGATGTTTTCCCAGCCTGCTACTCAGGAACCCATTCTACTCTCTTTCACTTATAGCATGGGTGTCAAACCTTTTGGCTTGCCAGGGCTGCACTGAGTGAAGGGGAATTGTCTTGGGCCAAATGTAAATTATATAATAAAGTAACAAAACTTATGTTTTTAATATATTTTTTTATTAAAATGTAAAAAGCAGAGAGGAGCAAAACCATAAAACTAATGAGATGCTTGGCCCTGTTTTTATGAAACTGATGCATCAGTGCCTGGTTCAATGGAAGTGGCTGCAATTGTTAGTGAGATCTCCAGGTGCTCGTCAGAGATTTTCAATGAAATGCTATTCTTCCTGTGATTCATCCTTGAAAACAACTGTTCACAAGTGCACATACTGCCAAAAAGCAATGATGTGAATGAGGTATGATTGTGAAGCACAAGATATTTTTCTCTGTTAAGGCAGACCTTATAAAAATCCAGTAACGAAACAAGACTGAATTTTCTTTGACTCGAATGTCTGACTGCAACTCTATACATTCTGTTTGAAAATGTGCAGGTAATGTATTTGTGACAACTGAAAATGGAGTCACAAATAAACAAAAAAATTGATGATTCTTTTGGAAATCTTGAAACCTATTCCCAAATTCCTTCATCAAACCGGAAAGCAGAGATGTATATTTTTCGCTGTTCATAGGCCTGTGTTTAGCCAACACATCAAAGTGCATGAGGCCATTTGCCATCACTTGAGCTTGCCATAATTTGTTTCATTGCAAATGCTGTCATGGTTGAAACAGAAAAGATAAGCTGATTTTCACCATGAAGACACACATTTAACTCATTTAAATGAGCGATCAGATCCACCAAAAACTGTTAAATCTGTGAGCCATTTTTCATTTTCAAGTTCTGGCACAAACTTCATTCCATGAATGATTTCATATCACAAATCATAGCATCTTTTCAGCACTTTACCCTGACTTAGCCACCTTCCTTCAGAAACGTAAACGATGTCCTTGTAACTGCATCCATTCTTTTAAGGAACTCCTGGAACTGGTGAGGATTCAATCCATTGGACTTTAATGCAATTCTCAGCTTAGATGATGATTTGCATGACATTATCCATTTTCAAAGCTTTTGCATACATGTTTTCTTGGCTGTATGATGCAGTGATATTTCATCAAGCGTGATTTGCTGATGGCAGCTGCACCACCTTCTATTAATTTAATAAATCCCCCTTTTTTACCAGCCGTTGCTGGGGCACCATCAGTAGCTATACCACATTATAGCTGCCACACTTTCCAAGCACTGCTTAAAAAGCACACCATCAGTAAATAGTTCAGATTTATTTTGCTACCACGTGACTAGCTCTTATAACAGAGTCCATTTGAGTTTTTAACCTTATGAAGATTTTGTTGAGACGACAGAATTCTTTTTTGGTTCCACTGTCTTCACAAAGTGTTCCCTGATAAGCATCAAATTTGGCAGCATGTTTTTGCAGGTAATGTTTTTCCAATTGTAATCTTTGAAAACTATCACCATTTCTTTACAAATTAAGCAGAGTGCCTCATTATTTGCCTTGAAAAACAAGCACCCATCTGTCCATTTTTTTGTTGAGCACACTTCCTTCATCCGTGATTTTTCTTTTTCTGGGTTCTGTTTTCTTCTGAGATGCTGTGAGGTAGGTTGAAATATTAGCATTGGCAATCACTGCACTGTTCTCAACAGGTGCCACGTGTAGTACGCACACGGCATCGTCACAAAAATAGTAAGAAAAGATGAGTATTTCTCCCATGAGCAGATGTGAAGCTTCGAGAGATAAGCAATAATCAGGCCCAACCAGCAAAAATGTAAGGCAGCTGGAACAACAAATCCACCTCTTGTAAACTCCCTCTTCTGCTGCCAAAACCTGGGACAGATGGGAAACTGCTTCCCCCACAGACACAGGCTTGGAGAAAGGGAATGATGTATCCTTCCTTCATGGTCCTTGCCACCATAGTCAAATCCAGATGTTCTCAGTGCCATTTAGCAGCTGGTTGGCAAAGTTCTGAACTGCAGAACAACCTTGTCAAATTCAGTTCATAAGTGAGTGCACCCATCCTCCACATTATTATAAGCTAATAAAACCAGTCCTTAAGCACAATGACATGTTTTAAGAAAAGGGAATTCTAAGAGAAAGGAAGGTAATGCCCTTCCAAGAAAAGGCACAAGCTGCACACACAACTTGTGGCACCTGTCTCATTAACTCAGCATTATCTAGAGGATTTCCCATACTCCCACTTTTTAAAAACATATCTCAAATGCTTATGGGAAAACTTGTTCATTTGTTGCTCCAGAACAAGGGCTGGCAGTTTATTTTGGTTCTTGTTCATATTTCGTGTGTGTGTGTGTGGAAAGGAATTCCTTGTTCTCGTGAGGGTGGATTTTTGGATCTGAGTTAACATGTTTTCCTGGCAGTCTTGCAAGAATGATTCATGTTAGCCTTTTAAAAAGAGCATACACATTCTCCTTATCTTGCTTTGGCATTCAGGAAATCAGTGCTGCATTTAGGGAAATAGTAGCTTACTGCACACATAGTATCTAGGAGTCTTTATGTCTCAGCTTCCTCTCAGGCAGTTTCAGCCCTAAGACAGAATAGGACATTTTTCAGGGCAAAAATCCTGGCAGGTCAGAAAAAATTATGAAGTTCCAGGATTGATCATAAAAAAAATAAAATTGAAGATCACATAACAGAGCTTTGATACCATTCTCCTAAAGATGATACAGAAGGGGTTGTCTTACAAGCAAACTGCATTATAAGGTCTTTTCCATATTCTAATCTGATATCTTAATGAGATGCTTCATTAGTACTCACTTGTCCAGTCCTCTTCAAAGCAATACAAGAAGTGAAATCCCACCATAATTAGAGCATGCAGAGAAATCAGTGCTATATACATCTGGAAAAAAAAAAAAAAGAAAAAAAGAAAAAGGATGCAATATAGGCATCAGGCAAAGACCAGAACGCTCACTTTCATCACCTTAAAATCAAGCGCAGTGTTCAGACTTAGAAGAACCCTACAACCAAAAATCAACAACCTCCATCCCCCAAATAAAGCAACCTGAAGGCGGCGAACAGTAAGGTAACACCCAACTCAATGTGGCCTTACCAACAGCTCCAAGGGCACGGGAAGAAGATGTTTAGTTGGAAGCCAGGCAGACACAAAGCCTGGTGTGCTGCGCCTCAGTGTGGCCTCCCAGACAGCGTGCGACCCTTCCTCTGCTGAGCACAGTGCAGCTCTCAGATACCAGCAGCTCTCTGACACTCAGGTGTCATGCTGTCAAAGCTCATGTCCATGCTCTCAAGCACAAGAGCACTACAGTTTACCAGTGAAACAACGGCTAATTTGTTTTAGCCACAAGAAGCACTTAATCTGCTTTCCAGATGTCATTTCTTTCCCTTAAATAAGTATTTTTCCCTGAGGCAGACACTGGCATGGAAAATTCCTGTCAGCCTTCAACACTTTGTACTTAATCCATTTTTTTTAAATCCTGTCTTAGCTTTGCAACAACATACTTCAAACCACTGGCAGTACTACACTACAGTTTACAGAGACAGGGCTAGAAGGATGACTTTCCTGGACCTACAGACTAGTAGGTGTGAGGGACATTTTGTTACAGGGTGACCCTGTGGGAGCAGAAAAGGGTGACAGGAGAGCATTTTGCCTCCCCTTGGAGCTGGAAGGTGCTGCCATACTTTCATCTCCCCAGGTCTTAAAGAGAGTAAACAGGAACAAAACAAAAAGAATAAACAAAATCTTTTGTTTCTCTTGCAACTACACTGGCTCTTTAATAGAGCTCACTTGAAAGTAATGGCAGTTTTAAGGGAAACAGAAATCCTTTTGATAAGATTAAAGCATCTTGCTTATCCCTTACAGTGAAAACAACCTTGCTCAAGGGAAAAAAAATGGGTTTTGTTCTGTAACCCACATCCTAAGAAACCACACTGTAGAAAATAAATTTCGGAGCAAGACTTTCCTCTTAATTCAAAGTTTCTCCCTTTCTACTTGGCAACATGAGAACACGCTTCCTTGAACCTACAGATTTCTCCAAAGACTTATTAATAAAATAGGGCATCATTAACAAGCAGCCTTGCAACACTCACGCTGCTCCCACAAGACATTTGCAGTCCTTTTGATGAAACAGATCTGCACCCTCCCATGTAAGTAGTATTCAAGTCTGTGCTCCTGCTTTCTTACACGTTATGCTACAGAAAACAGCACGAAAAGTCAAACATCTCCTTGGTTTTCAAGCACAAAAATAAACTACTTGCAAGTAGAACATGAACAATGCTTTCCAAAGGGGATGTAGATTTCCCTCTCCTTGCTTAAGATGCGACACCATCTCTTATTATGCAATCTCAGACAGGTGCTCCTTCAAGGACAGCATTTAGGTACCCTATATGTGGGTCACAACTCTACCAAACACAGAGCAGAGTGAAAGAATCAACAAACCACATGAGTTGGGAAACAGCATGCCAATCACCTGACAAAGCAAGCTTCACAAAGCCCTGGCAAACACTTTCTGTTTTGCCTTTTCCTATATTGCTATATTGTGTGCGTTCCCCAATTAGTGAAACAGGAGTCTGCAGGAGTTCCCTGAAAAGCTCTTCTGAAACAGGAAAGAAAAGCAAGCCAGCATTGGAGCTGCTTCAGAAATGACATGCAATGTTTTGTGGCTGCACACCAGACAGCCTCAAACAACACATGTGAAATACTTACTGTAAACAGTACAAAGTACTTCTGGTTATTCTCTCCTACGCAGTTATTGACCCATGGGCAGTGATGGTCCATTTTCCGAATACACCTCTTGCAAACGCTGAAAGAAGACAGAACTTTATTTATAGCACATTCCATTCTGGGAATACAAGATTTCACAGAAATTTTAGGAACACAAAGAAATGTAAGAACCAGAAGTGAAACGTAATGAGGTTCAATAAGGTCAAGCACAAGGTATTGTTGCACTTGGCTCAGGGCAATCCCTGGGGTTATACGCACTGGGCAAAGAACCCCTTGAGAGCAGCCTTGTGGAAAAGGACTTGGGGATCCTGGTAGACAAGAAGCTGGATGTGAGCCAGCAGTGTGCGCTTGCAGCCCAGAAGACCAACTGTGTTCTGGGCTGCATTAAAAGGGGGGTGGCCAGCAGGGAGAGGGAGGTGATTGTCCCCCTCTACTCAGCTCTTGTAAAGTGCCATCTGCAGTACTGCGTCCAGACCTGGGGCCCCCAGTACAAGAAACATGCAGAGCTCTTGGAACAAGTCCAGAAGAGGACCACTAAGATGATCAGAGGGCTGGAGCACCTCTCCTATGAGGGAAGGCTAAGGGAACTGGGATTGTTTAGCTTGGAAAAGAGAAGGCTCTGGGGAGACCTTATTGCGGCCTTCTAATATTTGAAAGGAGTGCATAAACAGGAATGGGTATGACTGTTTATGAGTGTGGACAGTGATAGGACAAGGGGGAATGGTTTTAAACTAAGACAGGGCAGATTTAGCTTAGATATTAGGGGGAAGGTGTCACACATGTTAGGGGGGTGAGGTACTGGAACATGTTGCCCAAGGAGGCTGTGGATGCCCCATCCCTGGAGGTATTCAAGGCCATGCTGCATGTGGCTCCGGGCAGCCTGGTCTGGTGGCTGGCAACCCTACACACAGCAGGGGGTTGGAACTGGATGATCCTTGTGGTGCTTTTCAACCCAGGCCACTCTATGATTCTGTGAAATCGGAACCTCTAAATTTAAAACACATTAATATTTCTGGTTCTTTCTATGTCTGCTGAAATCAGCCACACAGTACAAAATGACCACCGTGAAAAATTCATGTCAAGCAATACACATTCTCATAATGTTATCAGAGTTTCTGCCAAAATACAGTTTGAAAAATACATTCAGGCAGATGGAAAAATTTTGTGTTAGTCTGGTTTTAATCTAGTTAGTCTCTGAAAACATCCACAGATTAAAAACTAACCAAAAATCCCACCTACAACACAAAGATGTGAAAAACGGTTAACAAGCAACAACACTTCCCAGAATTATTAATCATAGGATCATATCATCATAGAATGGCCTGAGTCAAAAAAGACCTCAAAGATCATCTAGCTTCAACCCCCCTGCCACAGGCAGGATCACCAACTACCGGACCACGCTAATAGAAGGTAAAGGCTTATTTGTTATCATTATCTGCTAGCAGGAACTTGTGAAGAATAAAACTGAAGCAAACATGAGAATACACACTTGAAAACAAGGTAAGCCACACGCTGGCATAAAACAGCCAGGGCAGATAGTCAGGAAAACATTACCACAGTATACATCCAAGGTACAATTAGATGTTAAAGTACTTCACAAAACCACACTTATAAAATCAAAATTCAAGTTCTTGCCAGCAGGCACACTGTGGCTTGAAGTCAAATAATTAAAAGACTGCTACTTTGTCTGAACATCATTCTCCTGATTAGTCAGGAACTGCTCCGAGCCTCATAATAAAAGAGGTCTTTCTCTCTGCTGCTTTCTCATATGATAGCAGATGAAAGGCTGTCTCCTGATACTGCATCACACAAACAAGCACAGAAATCAAATATGAAAAAGCACGAGACCCCAAAACAAACAACAATAGCCCCATAAGAGGGAGCAGCAGCAGCGATCCCAGAACACTTCTGGCGGATCTGAAACAGGAAGAATTGAAGGCTGCTTCATTTTGTTTTCATTTTTCTTCTCAGGATTAAAAATATTTTGACCTTTAATATAAACAACAATACCCAAACACTTAAAGAGAGCCTCAAATAAAAACATAAGCATGTTCTAATGAGCACTTATGAATAAATAATAGAAAAACCTCTCTCTGAACAGCCCTGCACTGACTGCACAGCAGGAGGAGTTAATCCCAAGGAGTCTTACCATGCCTGGCAATGAATGAGCTGCTACAGTCCTAATGCTAAGGGAATGGCTGCCTGGGCAGGCTGCCAGAGCAAGAGCTCAGGCAGGCACAGGTAGCCTGTTACCTACTGGTCCCAGACACAGTAGACAACAGCAGAAGCCTCATTTTGCTAGAATAAGCAACTCAAAAATGTTTTTGAGCTATGTGGTACTCAAATCAGGTTGTGTCGTAAAAACAAGTTATCTGCCTGAAAATTTCAGACTTCAACAGGACAAACACCAACCTTTCACTAGGAAAAAAGGGAAAGAGGCAGAGGGAGAAGGGTGGATGGCATAAAGCAGGAGGGTTCCTCCCTGTACTCTAAATTAGTTTGTGTGTTTTTCTCTGCGAGCACACAGACTTCCCTTCAGCTGTGAAGCAGGTTGAGCACTAAAGCAACCCCTACAATTGCTGCCAGGTCCTCGTTCCCCAGATAGGGACAGCCTGAAGCACTTAAACCAAAGAGCTCCACAAAGGAGGCAGCTAAGGCTGGAAGGAGACTTATCATTCTCTGCTCACAGGAGATGGATAAGAGGCAAGTGAAACTAACTGGTTGAAAAGGAAGCTCAGAACCAAGGACCAAAAGTGGTCAACAGCAGGAATTGCCCATACTCTAAAATACACTCCCCTCAACAGCCCAGCTTCCAAACGCTGGAAGGAAAGCTGCTGGGCACCAGGGACTCAAGTGAATCAAAAAGCACCGTGGTCCCTCATGCACACAGCTAGCAACAACTCCTGCTGATGCACATGCGCAGACTTGGGGTGTGAAAGTCAAACAGATCTCCACAGGGAACATTGGGCTGAAGATTCTCAACACCATTAATGCACAGTGGATGGGTTTTCCAAATTTTAACATCTATAAAATTAACTTAAAGAATGGAGAAAAGAACTGTGGAGATGATTTGCCAAACAGCCTTTTTCATTTGCCTACAGTGTGAGTCATCAACCAGACAGCATTTTAGCTGTGAAGCTTCATTCATAATTGAAGACGTGTCAGAGGGGATTTTACAGCAGCATTAATAAGTGATCAGACAACCACATTGCTCCTACTGAATAACCAACTCCTGAGCTGGATTATGACAAAAAGCCAGCGACAAAAAATCTGCACACTAAAGCTCTGAGATCTGAAAAATGCAAACAGCAGAGCACGTTTGTTCAGCTCATTCATATCTGTGTATTTCCCTCCCACAAGACCTCTGCCTGAATCCAGTAACCACGACATGAGCTCTCTCAGTATGCATTGTGGTTTGGGGGTAGATAAGGAAAGGATACCAGTGCAAATTCATTAACTGATTACTGGAAAGCAGGTTCACTTGTTTTAAAAGCAGAAGGAAATGTTAGGAAGTAGTTACTTTTTTGCTCACTGTTTTTCGTACCTATCTCACTACCAGTTGCTTTCTTCTGTTACCTAAACTTCTGTTACACCGTTACCTGAACTTCAGTTTTAAACTAAGGATCATTTCTAAATCTATAGACAATAGGTCTGACTTAAAAGTAAAAAGGCCACTGACCTTTGAGACATTTATGTTGCACGGACTTTTGGTGTTTAACGAACCTTTTAAAGTCATTTTAAGTCTTTTTTTCCCACGACAGCCTGTACTACAAATCACAGAACGTCAATTACAGGTGTGAAGCAGCACTCATTTCTCACTTTGCAAGAAGCAGCCCTAGCCTGCTGAAGGTGAAAACGTCCCTGAAAACACCTGAGTTTTTTTTTTACACAGAAGCTTGAATGCATCTGCCACTCCTGGCAACAGAATTTGAATGCCAAACTCCCAATTTAAACACTCAAGTCTCACACTCTAATAATATTCAAGCACACAGGACAATTGTTGAGGTCTAGAGACTTTACCTGCAGTGATGTGCTCTGTCAGGTTTGATGCTACAACATTTTGGGCACTTGTAAACCACCTGTCCTGGCTTTAGCTGTAAACTCTCAATGAACTCTTTTGTTGCGTTACCTTTAGGCACAGCACCCTGTAGAAAAGGAAATCAAACCAGAAGATTATCCTGTGAACACTGCCAGTGCTCAGAATAGTAGAGATGACTTAAAACTATGGAAGAGGAGGAAGAGAAAATAGGAATAAAAAATCTCTAATATCAACAGGGAGTTGGGAAGAGCAAGAAGGAAAAGAAGTTAAAACAAGGTGGTCCTAATATATGGATGTAATATGTAGAACAATATATTCAAACATCACTTCTAAAAACAAAATAAAGCAAGCAGCAGTACATCCTTACAGAAGGAATCAGGCTTTTGTAATCCCACAGTAACCTTCAAATATTTAAGAATTTTTACCCCCCCTCCCCACATCTATCAATGGATTTTTCATCCCAGTGTTTGTCATCGCAAATTGAAGACAGCAGATGTTTTAATTCAAGTAGAAGCAGCCACTTCTGAAGTACCTTTGTGTAAAGCAGCAGTTGCTGATAAGCATCTAATACATTTATAGCTATACCTCTGTTGTGCATTTGATATTTAAATCAAGGTGTAACATTCAAACAGCGCACTCTTTCTAAGAATCCAAGTAAGACCAGGCAAAATGTTCTTGTTTGTGCAATTGTGACATTAAAATAAGTGTCTTTAAACAGGAGAAGCTGCAGAAGCCTGAACTTCCAGAAGTTTTCAAAACTTTCAAGAATTTCCAGCCCATGGCCATAAATTTGGTCAAAAGATTAAAAAAGGATGAAACGTGACGTATGAAATCACTGCTGGGACTCTGACACAACGCATCCCTGTAGGTGTGGGCTTTTAGACTGAAATAAAACAAGGCACTGAACGGTTTAACACATTTCTGATGGAGCAGCCTCTTCTTAAAGCTATATTATTTCTCAGCAGCAATAAAGAACAACGCATATTAACAAAACACATCAAGCAGGTATTATAGGGCTTTCCTGAGCAGTCTTGGGATTTTTCTGCACAAACCTCCCAACAGTCCTGGCCAGTCTAGGACTGATGACCAAGACCAGTTTACACAAAATAGTACAACTTATGCTCTCTGAGCACACAGCAAAGCTCCAAACACAAGGAATGTTTTTAGGGAGAACACAGAGGAAGCAGTTCCTGAAAAGGATGATATGCTATCAATTCTGAAAAATACAGGTGTTCATTCGTTTTTGATAACAATTTCATTGCAGTGCTCTGCTTCATTCTTGATCCCAGATGTGCTGCTCTTCTCCATCTCCCACAGCTTCCTTCCTCCCAAACTCACTGCCCACCCTGCCTTGCTGCACTCCCTCCCTGTGTTCCCTTCTCCATTTTGCCTACCTGATTTCTTTCTAAAAATCTCTATGAAAAATAAAACAAAATCTCACTGGTTCCCTCCATCCACACACAAAAATCCCACCAACCACACAGTGGGAATTAAGATACCTTTTCCAGATTCCTCTGTAGATTTTATCTGTTTCTCTGAAACTGTGCTTTCTCAGCCTGCTTTAAAATGCAGCTTTTGTTTCAAGAGTGATCACTAGCTCTGTAAAATAACACCAGAGACCTGAAGGTCCTCGATATTAAAGCCACACAACATATAATAATTAACAACAACAATAAGGCTTATGTAACAAATTGCTACAACCTTGTATTTGTGAGCCCAATGACCAGAAGTTTCAGCACCTCAACTACTGCTCTAAGTTCTGCTCAGAATCAGTAGCACGCACTGTATCAGTCTTCTTTTACCACAAACTGCAAAACTACCCCAAACCAAGCAATTTTTGCAGCTCTGCAGTTTCTGGAAGAGCTGAAAAAATCAAGCAATAAAAATTACACTGAAGTTTTAACAGCACCTACCAAGGTTTCAAGTAGGAAATGACATTTGGAGGGAATAATTTGTGTATCAGGGATGCATTGCCATTCCCAGCAGGAACAAAGACTCAGGAGGAAGGAGAGAAGGAACCTAAGCTTGCTTTTTGTTCCACAGTCTAGTGTGAATGGGGCTTTGAACTGAATGTACTTTTCAGAGGCTGATAAGCAAAATAAGCACAAGCCATTCTGAATAACCTTCGCAATATTAATCCATCTCTTATTAGAGAAGCAGTGTCCTACAGAGGTAAGGGAGTGCCACAATTTATACACTTCCTGTCTGCCCAAGAACTTTCAGCTGGTAGCATGCTTATATAATATTTGTTTTTGCACGGTCCAACAAATTTCATTAAAACACTAGTGTGAAAGATGGCTGCATTAAAACTATGCATGTTCTGTTCCATTCTGCTGAAGTAGTGCTTGCCAAGGCAGATAACCAGAACCAGCTTTTCCTGCTTTGCTGTTTTGTCAAGACATGACAAGCCACAAACATGAGATCCAGGATTTGTGGGAAAAGTCTCGGGGAGAAACGCTCTCCTCTTCAGTGCAGAAAGAGAAGCTGCTCTCACAGGGAGAATCTACAGTTGGGTCCTCAAGTTTGCATTTGACTTGAGTGGGATGAGGAATTAGCCTCCCACATCAGCAGCTTCTCTCAGCAGGCTGACACGCAGAAGTTATTTAAATCTGCCACTCACTCAGCAACCGAGTTACTCAACACTGATCAGATAAGAAAAACACTGCCTTTTTCTTCCGGAGACATGCAGAGAGAGATACTTACTGGATCTGTCAGCATAGCACGAAAATGTGAAGCCAAAGCGAGGAACGCCAAGGTGTTGAACAGCGTGCCATTGATGACACTATAAACGTAATCTCTTGAGGGAACCAGCATGACAAGAAGGACTACAAAATCAGCATAGAACACCAGCATCCAGGTGACAACGGCACACGCGATACCACAGCCATCTCGAATAAACCACATTGTTCCCAAGGAAGCGCGGCTAGGAGGTGGAACACACTTCTCCGGCTGGAGGTATTCGGGTGTCCTTTCAATATCTCTGAAGCGGTGGACTGAAGAAATCATCATAGGCTATTATGTCCATACTTGCATCTGAAAGAGAATCGGAAACAGCACTCACTGCCTCACAAGGCCCTCTGAGATCTTTTCACACAGCGGGATGGGATGGCGTGAGTAGGAACAGTGAAAAAGATGAACCAAACAAAAAATAATGGCTTTGGAAGCCAGACTTTCGTACTTATCAGAACACCTCTTACCCAAGAAGACTCTCTAAGTGCTTTTAAGACTTGCTTAACCACACGCTGACTCCAGCCACCCCCACTGAGGAAAGGCAGCGAGCGCTCTGATGCAGAGCACAGTGGCCAGGTGGTGCCAATAGGAGCAGCTGTGGAAACACGTGGGAAAACCATGGGGAAAAAGAACAGAGCAGAGCCCCTTCTGCTGGGTCAGGCCCAAGGAAGAAAAGAGAGCCTGGGGGCTCAATCTGCACAAACTGCTGAGCAGTAGTGGTAGCAACTCCTGAAGCAGCAACCATGCAAAGATTTTTATAGAACTCTCCAGTCTTGCCTGGACTGCGCTCTTCCCTTCTCCACTGGCTTCATGGCCCCTTGGAGTCTGCTGCTCCACTTCACTCCATCCCTTAATTGCGTTTGCTTCGCCCCCCTCTGGAACTCCTGGAGGCTTTGCAAGTGCCATTCACACACCCAGCCACTTCTTCTAGGGACATTCCTCAAGAAGTGTTTGCACAGCATTCGAAACACTCAAACGCCACAACCGATGTGTCAGGACCCACCTTCCACAAAAATGGGCTTGGCTACTAAATACACTGAATTGCACGCACCCACAGAAGGCTCAGCTGCCTGCCCCCTGAATGCATAAGGATTGGTTTCATCTCTTTCCAAAACAGTGCTCGTTGCCATCTCAATTCAGAGAGAGGAAGGTGATGCTCACCGCTAGTTACATTTTCTGCCAAAAAGGTCACACTGAAGCTGTTTTTGCATTCAACTGTTAAAAAAACAAAACAAAACAACAACCCTAAAACATACTATTGATTAGACAAAATGGATGAATTTTATAGGAAACCCAGTGAGATCATAAAAGCATCCAGAACCTCAAGCTTCTCTCCAAGCATTTACTCAGTTCTGTCCAGGAGAAGGAACAGCTTTATTTCAGAAGCACCAAGCTCCACAGCCATGCTGTTGCCCTACCCAGACAGTAAGGAGGATGACAACTTGCTTTCTGCTGTTATTTCAGGAGAGCCAAATTCACAGAAGGACATCGAGTTTCTCATGGCCTAAGGGTAAGGCTGTTAATGAACAGGGTGATTAATTAGGTATGTTCTTCTATTTCTGCCATTAACACACAGTACGCTACCAAGTGAAACAGCTTGGGATGTTTTAGGAATCTGATAAGAAGTCACATGGGTTAATGTTACAGCCTACCAACTTTACAGCATATCACACAGGATAGAAAAATCAAGATTAAAGGAGTGCCTGTGTATCTCAATTGCTTTGGTGAGGAAAAAAATAACAAAACTAGCTTGCAAAACTCACCCACCACACTGCAATTATGTGTTTTAACCACAGCTATAGCTAAAGCTCCTGACAGCAGACACTTTAGGGAGAGAAGCATTTCATTTCCAGAAGCAGTGATTACCCTTACAATCTGCTGGCCTAAGTTCTGACAGATGTCTACCTACCAGCAAACCCACATCTTTTCCCTACACATTCACCATGCATGCAAGGATACACATTCACACAGACTTCAAAAGTGTTTGAAAGACTCCCCTCCCCAAGATAACAGCCGACCTTCACTGCATTGGTTAATAATCTTACTAGAATTATTACACAGGTTTGCCAGCTCAAAACAAAACTGACAAAAGACTCATGCCTGACAATGGTATTTTAACTGACTGTAACATAATGCATTAAAAGTATGAAAAAACTGCAATACAGATGCTCAGTTTTCAAACTAAAGTTTTAGACCTGACATGTGAGGTACAGCAGCAAGCTGGGACAGCCTCGAGCACTGACTTTCAGGGTTTTCTGCCTAGACCCTGTGAGACACCTTTGTATTTTTTTTTTCCCCTGGTGTTTTGTTTTCCAAAGCAAAGGAGTGAAAGGATCACAAGAAAAGCCAACTCCCACCAACAGAGGAATGAGTTTGACAAGTCACCTTAAGGTCAGTCCTGGCTGAAAGCTAGACCAACGCATACAGATTACAGCTGTGGGCTTAGCCCTGCACAGCACACTTCTGCAGACAAACAAAATGCAGAGCTAAGCAGAAAGCTCTCTCACTCCAATGGAAGTTATCCCAGAAATAAAGCGCAAAATAAAACCATTGCTGCAGAAGTGCCAAAGAAGGAACTGGTAGGATCTTGGAGGCACACCAGTGCCAGTAGGACACTGGAGGCACCTCACCTGAGGGTCCAGTTTCTGCAGTACAGAAAGGAAGCCAGTAAGATGCAGCACAGGCCTCCAACACTGACTTCTGGCTGGAGGACAAGTGTGTTAATTAATGCACTCAGTTACTTAAGACTGCTTTCAGAGTCATCACTGAGCAACAAAATGAAAAATCAGTAATTGCTATATGAACACTATTCATTACTCAAGAAACGCTTATGTGTTTCTGTGTACATTATTTGTATGGAACTTCTTGTGTTGCAGTTTTTGTCCTGCCTGTTCCCATCCATTTGATTCCCACACTTTTGATGTTTATAAACAGTGATAAAATCCCAGCCTTCTCTCGTCCAGGCTGACCGGTTCCAGGTCTCTGAGCCTTTCCTCATAACGGATATGTTCTGCCCCCTCATCGTCCTGGTGGCCCTCCATTGGATTCTATCTGGAAGTTCCCCCTCCTTCTCGAACTGAAAAGCCCAGAACTGAACACAATACAGTGTGTATCCTCACCAGGGCAGAACAGAGGGAGAGGATCACCTCCCTCGACCTGCTGGCCACACTCTTTAATGCATCCCAGAATACCATTAGCCTTCTTGACCACCAGGGCACACTGCTGGCTCATGGCCAACCTGTTGCCCAGCAGGACCCCTAGGTCCTTCTATGAAGAGCTCCTTTCCAGCAGGTCAGCCCCTAACCTGCACAGATGCATGCAGTAATTCCTCCCCAGGCACAAGACCCTACACTTGCTCCTGTTGAAGATCATCAGATCTCTGCCCAACTCACCAGCCTGTCCAGGCCATGCTGAATGGCAGCACAGCCTTCTGGTACATCAGCCAGATGTATACTCCTCCCCACTTTGCATCATCAGTAAACTTGCTGAGGGCGGACTCTATCCCTTCATCCAGATCATCTAACAGCCATGCTATCTGAGCACAGAGTCTCAGCTCCCCTTCCACATGGTGAATGTTTTTAATTCCTTGTTCTGACCTACATAAACATCTTCTTGTTTATGCTGGCTAACCTGGAATTTTTATATTAAAAAAGAAACAGGGATTGTGGCATGGGGGAGTAACTTGCCCTGGCAGCCCTGCCCTGGAATCACCCTGCACAGGAGCTCATTTTGTCACACACAGCTTGGGTGTATCAGCCCCTCATGCTCAGGAGCACACAACAGGTGAACACCAGCAGCAAGGACCTGATCACTGCATCAGGCTGCAGGGAGGCCAGCAGGTACGTCAGTGATAGCAAACGTGTCCACTCAGCTCCATGTCACAGTGAAACTTTTCCTTCTTATCTGGAAGGCATTTAGCACCACAGGAATAATCCAAGGAATATGTAACATACGCATTAGAAATGTAAACAAAATAAATTAAAATCCACTTCCTGCTACAATGGACACTTACAATACAGTTACACCTTTTATAAATTAACTGTATTTGACCTGACATCAATCATGTAAAAAAACCAACAAACTATTTCTGATGGCCTGTAACTGCTGAACAACACATTAAGAATGAATGAAGAACTGATCTGGGCCTTCATCCAGTGGGTACCTGAATGCAGTCTGATGTTCTGACCTCACAACACGTACACAGCTCACCGTCACCCAGCTGATTTGCATCTCATTACTCATGCTGGGAAATACCTCAGTATGACCTGCCACACTGCACTATTACAGCAAAGACATTGCAAGTGTTTCCCCTATTACAAGTCCATTCAACATTAAACTGTGGGGAGGAGTTACCTGCACGGACTGCCAAGTTCTGCCTGTTGTATTAAAGTGATTTTAAGGGAAAGGGGAAAAAAAAAAAAAAAAAGAGAGAGAGACCATGGCAAACTCTGTGTCTTTCTTGAGGGTTTGGTTATTATTACATTGTTTAAGATGAACACGTTCCTGAAGAGAGTTTTTCTAACACAGAGAACTAGAGTTTACTGACAGCATTTTGAGAGCCCATAAATAATTATCAGGTTAACTTTTTATTGTCATCAGAAGAAGGAAGCAAGCATACATTACTGGTCACCCTGTATTCACAACTGCTACACTAAGTGATCTTTAGGCACCAGACATTCTCTATAACACCAATAAGTAACCTACTCTTGCATAAATACACATATAAACTGCAAGCTTATTTTGAAGTTCATTTCAGTCTTCAGACATAAAACATTAATGAAAACATTAGGTATTTAAACTTTCTTTGCAACAGAAATGAAAGTGTGTTTTCTAACTAACAGGATATTTACCTTTGCTTCTCCTCCCACACTTTCATACAGCCCAGATCTAACAACAAGCTGTCAGAACCCACCAAAGCAAGTTCCAGCAAGAATAACAAGGAAATACCAATATTCCATGTATTTTTTCTAATGGTTTCTGAAAACTTTTATCTGATCGAGTGGAATGAGAATGCTGTGAATTTTTAGCCATCTGCTGCAGATCCATCCACACATCCATCTGCCCAGCACTCTGCAACTCCTGGCATACAGAACCCTGCAGGGCCAACGGGACACTTCGAGCAGCTCTGTGAAAGGCAGCTAAAAAAAAAGCAAGCCTACTATCAGCAGGTTTAAATTTGCTATAGAATTGTACATTCATCAAAATGTTTTCAAGACTCCGCATACAGTTCAAAACAAAACAGACCCAAACTACCTCTCTCCAGTAAAATGCATAGGGAAGGGTTAGGCCCCAGGATATTAGCACTACACCAACCACACTCTGTTTGACTCAGATCAAAACGACACAGGGCAGAGTCCGTTCTGCCAGCCCGATTGCAGCCACCCCAGGAGCAGGAGAACAGCATTATGCCTGGTAGAAACAAGCTTAGATTTTTCTTCTGGAAATTCAGGCCACACTTAGGGAAACAGTTTCAGCCTAATGAGAGAGTACAAAGAAGGAATGACCTCAATGACACCTGCCAGATCTAGGAACTCCTGCCCCAGGGCCAACACAGACAGGCTGGGCAGGGGTGGCCGCATAGGGCACAAACCTCACAGGTTTCTCACCGACACCACTGTAAAAAAGTAGCAACTTCTGCAGTGTTAGTGGAATTCCGATAGTATAATAGTAAGGAAAATAAGGCCACGTTTTCTTAATTAAAAGAATGTCTGTGGTACACAGTCTCTCAGGACAGATGGCAACAGCTTCCTGGCTAATGCCTATATCATTTCTGTTTAACCAACAAATACACATTGTATAAATAAATTATAACGCAACAAAGACTCGCCAGAGAGTCTTGAGTAATTGACAAATAGCTGCACCTCCACCTACACAGCCTTTTCGCTGCTGGCCTGAGAGCAGGAAAAAAGGCAATGAGAAAGCAGTTCCTGTCCAAGGTACACAAGCACAGGAGAGTGACTGAACCAGGTGACGAGGAGATGCAGGTCACACAGGCAGTAAGGAATCAGGTCAGGCCCACGGTCTGATCCCACATTCAGCCATGTCAATCAGCAGTTGTCAGAGAGCTGCAGAGATGTCAGGCCCTGTGAGATGTGACAGGAGCTGCCCCAGTTTGGATGCTGACTCAGGACTTGACAGCAAGCCACCGGATCAAGGGAATTGAAATTCTCCATTTGTCCTGCATCAGCCTTTTGAAAAAAGGGAAAGATGGAAAGCAAAAGGGGAAGGTTTCCCTATACAGTGGGTATTGTTATTAATGCTTGTGTTAAAAACCACGCTGTTTTCATGGCATAAAGAATGTATTTTCCAGAAAAGTAGAAAATAATTGTTGGTTTTTACACTTTAACTATCTCAATCCAGAACCAGAACCATCCCAGCCTGAAGAATATTCTGAATCACTCAGGTGAGCCCAAGATTTGGGTCTTCCCTGCTGCTGCTGCAGGCCCTCCAGAAGCACGAACCAGTCGCTCAGCTTCTCCTATTGTTTCCCCACTTTGGCCTACACTTCTTCCTTACCACATCAGGGACTTTCACAAGTGGATGAAGGCTTCAAGGCACTCAGTTTTAAAATAGCTAAACAGATACAGAAAGACACAGGGTGTACATTAAGTAATGCACTGATGAAACAGTGACTGAACAGATCATCTCTAGCTTGTGGAGGCCTCAAGTGAAAATTGGGGTTGTCACAATCCAACACGATGATGTTAAGAGTTAGCCAGGGGAGAGCTCTGGTGCCACTTTGGGAACTGGAAAAACCTGCACGTTCAGAGCTGTCCTATATTAAGGGATTTCAAACAGAGAACTTTTCAGTTGCAAAACAGCATTACTTTTGCTCAGTGTTCTGCTGGCAGACACAAACAGTCTCTGTCTTCCACTTTCTATGGGTAAACATTAATTTTGTTATCCTTTGAAATACTGAGATGCAGAAATCAGCCTAACTGCAGAACAGAATCTATTGCCTGTCTACTCCATGCTACATTCAGTGACCCGAGCAGTCACTGCAAAGATCAAAGATGTGCATCACACCCACCCTTACCCCGCTACAGCCTTCTCACCTCTGTGTCTCTGTTGGGTTACTGCAGCCTTTTCACTAAGACTGGAAATAAGGCTGCAACTGTTTCTTTTATTATTAAGTAGCACAGTGCTTCACATTACCTTTATTCACCACAACTGCTTCAATCTGTGCCCATTTGTTCTAACTTCCAGAAGCTGCACCACATTTAAGCCTGGTTCCTCTTACTGCAAAACTCACAATGAAACGCACCATCCACCACCAGGCGAGCAGCACAAACATCAACAAGAGCCGTGCTCTTCCTCCCATTCAACATTCCTCCCTCAGCCACAGGACACTAACACTGAGCTTTCTGCACCCTTCCTTGCAATTAAAGCTCACAGAGCAGCGGTACCCAAGATTTGCCTGGCTGAAGCTGCGGCCCAAGGCGCTGTCAAGCACCTGGCTCCTGGGGCAATGCCAGAAGCAGTCCGAGGGAGGTCTCCCGCCCCTGCATACTGGTCACCTTCTGCATACTGGCTGGGAGCTGGCCCTGCTTGGGGCCTTAGTGTCCGCAGATCCAAAGCTGCCATCCTCCTTTGGGCTCCCTCTCAGAAGGGCAATGTGTGAAGCGCTCCTGGCAGGCTTGCTGCACTGCAGCTCCAAGCAAGGTGCCGGCTATCTTTTTTTCTTCTCATCTGCACAATCCAGGAAACAGACAGCTCTCATCAGGAAAGCTCTAACTTCTCATTTTCTCTAAAGCAACCTGGAATTTCAGATTAGTTATGTGCACAAAGCAAATGTGATGCTCTGGGTACCACATCATTCAGCTCTGGCTTGCTTCAGCCAGCTAAGCACAGGGCAAAGAAAATAAAAAAGGACAATGTTATACATTGTCATGTATTGCATTACAAACCATCTGCTCTCAGGAATGAAAAAAAAAAACAACCAAAACCCTGTATTCCAGTGCATCATTCCAAGAAAAAGGTCACTGTACTCTACAGGGAGACAGGGAAACCATACCCTGACTCAGATAACACCAGTGGTGGCTGGCTGGGCGCAGCCACCCACGTGTCAGATCAGTGAGCGTGACTGCCCATTGCCAGCACCACGGTTTCCTTGATGAGGCTGTACCCCACTACAGACGTGCCC